GGACCCGCCAGCTCCTCCAACTCCTTCCTCAACCCACTGCCCCCTCCCCGAGCCAGTGCCAGCCAGCAAGCCCCAGAAGAGTCTGGAGAGTTCTGGGAGCGGCAACACTCAGGGCGCTGATTGGTCCCAGAAAGCCGGAGGGCAGGACCTGAGGAGAAACCCCTGGAATATTCCCGACCCGGCAGCCGCACTGAGCTCGGTGATTGGCTGAGGAGGGAAAAGGCGGAGCTTGATGAAAAACTATAAACACAGAGCCGCCCTCAGAGAAACGGCGAGCCTTGAGAGAGCTAGTAGGATTCGTGTGGTTGGTGAGCGCAGCTTCTGCAGACACACTCTTTGCGAGCACCACCCCGAGCGGCACCGGCGCGTTCAGTTTTCGGAATCCGAAAGAACCGAGCTCCTCGTCACTGAGCTCGTTGGCCGTTTTCAGGTCTGAAGTTCGTTGCGGAGCCGAGAGGACAGGACACCGGCATGGCGAAAAGCACGGCCATTGGCATCGACCTGGGCACCACCTACTCCTGCGTGGGGGTGTTCCAGCACGGCAAAGTAGAGATCATCGCCAACGACCAGGGCAACCGCACCACCCCCAGCTACGTGGCCTTCACGGACACCGAGCGGCTCATCGGCGACGCGGCCAAGAACCAGGTGGCGCTGAACCCACAGAACACCGTGTTCGACGCGAAGCGGCTGATCGGCCGCAAGTTTGGCGACCCTGTGGTGCAGTCGGACATGAAGCACTGGCCTTTCCGGGTGATCAACGACGGTGACAAGCCCAAGGTGCAGGTGAGCTACAAGGGGGAGACCAAGGCGTTCTACCCCGAGGAGATCTCGTCGATGGTGCTGACCAAGATGAAGGAGATCGCCGAGGCGTACCTGGGCCACCCGGTAAGCAACGCGGTGATCACTGTGCCGGCCTACTTCAACGACTCGCAGCGCCAGGCCACCAAGGATGCCGGGGTGATCGCGGGGCTGAACGTGCTGAGGATCATCAACGAGCCCACGGCTGCCGCCATCGCCTACGGCCTGGACCGGACGGGCAAGGGGGAGCGCAACGTGCTCATCTTTGACCTGGGCGGGGGCACGTTCGACGTGTCCATCCTGACGATCGACGACGGCATCTTCGAGGTGAAGGCCACGGCCGGAGACACCCACCTGGGTGGGGAGGACTTCGACAACAGGCTGGTGAACCACTTCGTGGAGGAGTTCAAGAGGAAGCACAAGAAGGACATCAGCCAGAACAAGCGGGCCGTGAGGCGACTGCGCACCGCCTGCGAGAGGGCCAAGAGGACCCTGTCGTCCAGCACCCAGGCCAGCCTGGAGATCGATTCCCTGTTCGAGGGCATCGACTTCTACACGTCCATCACCAGGGCGCGGTTCGAAGAGCTGTGCTCGGACCTGTTCCGGAGCACCCTGGAGCCCGTGGAGAAGGCTCTGCGCGACGCCAAGCTGGACAAGGCTCAGGTCCACGACCTGGTCCTGGTGGGGGGCTCCACCCGCATCCCCAAGGTGCAGAAGCTGCTGCAGGACTTCTTCAACGGGCGCGACCTCAACAAGAGCATCAACCCCGACGAGGCGGTGGCCTATGGGGCGGCGGTGCAGGCAGCCATCCTGATGGGAGACAAGTCTGAGAACGTGCAGGACCTGCTGCTGCTGGACGTGGCTCCCCTGTCGCTGGGGCTGGAGACGGCTGGGGGCGTGATGACTGCCCTCATCAAGCGCAACTCCACCATCCCCACCAAGCAGACGCAGATCTTCACCACCTATTCGGACAACCAGCCCGGCGTGCTGATCCAGGTGTACGAGGGCGAGAGGGCCATGACGCGGGACAACAACCTGCTGGGGCGCTTCGAGCTGAGCGGCATCCCACCGGCGCCCAGGGGGGTGCCCCAGATCGAGGTGACCTTCGACATCGACGCCAATGGCATCCTGAACGTCACGGCCATGGACAAGAGCACGGGCAAGGCCAACAAGATCACCATCACCAACGACAAGGGCCGGCTGAGCAAGGAGGAGATCGAGCGCATGGTGCAGGAGGCGGAGAAGTACAAAGCCGAGGACGAGGTCCAGCGCGACAGGGTGTCTGCCAAGAACGCCCTGGAGTCGTACGCCTTCAACATGAAGAGCGCCGTGGAGGATGAGGGGCTGAAGGGCAAGATCAGCGAGGCCGACAAGAAGAAGGTGCTGGACAAGTGCCAGGAGGTGATTTCGTGGCTGGACGCCAACACCCTGGCCGAGAAGGACGAGTTTGAGCACAAGAGGAAGGAGCTGGAGCAGGTGTGTAACCCCATCATCAGCGGACTGTACCAGGGGGCGGGTGGCCCCGGGGCTGGCGGCTTCGGGGCCCAGGCCCCTAAAGGGGGCTCTGGGTCTGGCCCCACCATTGAGGAGGTGGATTAGGAATCTTTCCCCAGATCGTTCATGTTTATGGAGACAGTTGGGATCCAAGATTTTGCATTGCCTTACGTATATGCCTTTCATCAGTTATCAGCTATGCAAGTTGTTTGCAAAGTTGAACTGTGTCTCTTGGTGAAGTTATGAACTGTTTTTCAGCGTGTGAGTGTAAAGATGAATGTATACTGCCATCTTTTGTCAATTTTCTGCTTTGTAATACTCATGCCAAACTCAGGCTTCCTCCCCCCCCCCCCCGCTTTTTAACTGATTACTTCAAAGTAAATAAACTCAGAGAAGAATTCGAGTGATGTCTGTCTCTTTTATTTTGAGGGCAGAAGGGTCTGCATAGGTTCTCTTTCTTACGTAGTCTAAAATTGAATGGCAATTTGCCTCTTAGATAAGGTCGGGGATCTGGAAAGTAAGGATATGTATTGTATTGTGACACACGTCATTTAGGCAAATAGTATTCTTGGGAGATACAAAACTGCGAATTTGAATGCTTTGGGTTTGGTGGGTCCGGAAAAAATGTTGAGGTACGGGCATGGTGGCCTCAAGGTGGCTGAGGGGGTAGAGGCTTTAAGGGTGGCCTCAAAAGGAGCTTGTGCATGGGAGTGTTCTGGAGAAGCAGCCAAATAGGAGAGGCAGTTGGATTGGAAGGTCATGGCTCCTGCTTCCTGTGAGTACACATGGTATGTTAGAGCCCTGTTACTTAATCTGGATTCAGCATGAAAGAGAAGCTAAACTGGCAGTGAGGAGATGTGAGTTCAAGCAATGGCCTGACTAGTTATGCATGAATGCATTCTCCACTGTGATCCCTAGTTCTCATATTTTAAAATGGAAGGGTTTGGCCTCATGCCTCAATCTATATTTCTTATTTCTGAAAGAATGCTGAGATAAAAATGCCACATTTCCAGCAGTGGTTACCTACATTTTAAGTATCCCAGTGAGTACCTTAGGGAGGTGTCATAGTTTCATGCCCCAGCAGGGGGACCCCAGTATTTCAGTGCTCTTACCTACCGGGCACTGTACAGGTGCCTTTTAGGTGTTTATGAATTCTCATTCCACTGCACTGAGTATAGGTGGTGTTTGACTTCCACAGGTGAACATATGGGGAGACTTAAAAGTTACTGGCTTAACTAAAATTTATTTCAAGGTTAAAAAAATCAGTTCAGCAAAGATGTTGAACCCGGATTCCAACTCTGGGTTTACTGGTTTTTCCGCTGCTGCCCCAAGTCCACAGGGGTTTGTGTGTGCATGTCTGGTTCTGGGTTATGTTTCTACTCTGGGTTTCACAATCAGTATTCTTTCTGCTTTAACTCTGTATAATCGAAACAATTATGTCAGGTAAACAATAGGGTTGATGACAGAGGTTTAGTATTTGTTAATTTAGAAGAGTGATAGAAAAAACTTGCAGCCCAGTACCAGGAAGACTTACCACAGACTTGCTTCCCCTTGAGATGCTTTATACCCTAGCTGCTAGCATCCTAGAAGTAATCTCCTCCACAGTCTCTTTGTTGGAAAAGGCCTGGCACAATCCTCAAGGCTTGGGGAGTGAGCCCTTTTAAAAATCAGTTGTGTCTGGGGTTTACAAAGATTTTGGAACTAGGTAGCGGTGGTGATTGCACAACATGGTATTGGGCTAGGTACCACTAAGTTGTACACTTTAAAATGGTTCATTTTATGTTATGTGAATTTACTTCGCCAAAAGCAGAAAAAAAAAATTGTGTCAACATTCTATAAAAGCACTTTGTGAGTTTGTATACTTCAAGGCCCACCAAACCTTTCACTAAATACTTGGCCTTTGAAGAAAATCCAATATTATGGGAATAACATGTATAGGTAGACCTTGCCCTGTAAGTTTGGAAATGGAAATGCTTAGACTTACAGGCCAGTTTGTAAAGACACGTTTAATCCTCAGGGTAGTTGAACTGTAGCGCTGTGGAGTCTAGCCACAATGTAAGTCAACCTTCATGGGGGTATGCATTTGCTACAGGACCTCCTCTACCCCATAGAGCTGCAGTAACATTTGTGACTGTCATCTGCACACAACACAGTAACTCTTCAAGCAGCCACTACCACTACTTTAGGGGGAGGTAGCAAGGGATGGGGAGGGTGGGTGGAAAAGGGCGGAGATTGGGAAGGACCTAAGAAACACCTTTGATAAGAGAGGTTAGGGAAATCTCCAGAAATTACCTTGGAGAAAATGAGTTCCTATGGCTAAATCAGTTAGGGTTATTGAGGGTGTTTTATTGATACTAAGAAGTCAATATGTTATTGCCTTGATAACATATACCCTTGCACGGAGTACTTTGAAAATAATCACTATTTAAGTTCCAGATGAAGCTGAGGGAATTGCAGAACTAGCAAAGAGAATGCAGTGCTATCCCTGGAGAAAGTGGTGTTTTGGGTAGCAGCAGGAACTTTGGGGGAGAGGAGGTGCATCGAGATAATTGTAGATGAGGAAAGAATTTTTTAAATCTAATACCTTCCCTAATTCCAATCTCACCTGTCTCCCTATGCCAGCCCTCAGAAGGCAGGTGGCTATGGTAATGCGACTAATTTTATGTCTTTTAAATCCAAGATACTGTGTGACTAGTAACATACATACTGTTATTCCTGGTGTTTAACACGGTTCTGTCATCAAAAATGAAGAAAAGATACTAAAACAACAAAAACGTTTATAAATGTGAGAGAAGTGGGCAGAAGCATGGGCTTTCAGTTAAAAGAGGTTGTTTCAGGTGAAAAACCAATATTGGCGATTTCTGAGGGGGAGGTCCTCACGCTAGGAATAAGAAACGGTAACTGTCATCATACTTTACGCCAACTGATCACCTTAAATCCGTCCCCGAGGGTCACCCGTAAAGTATCCAGTGCAGTTCTGTGAGAGCAACCCCACCAGCCCCCTCGCCCTCTCCTAGCTCCAGCTCATTTAGAGACGTTAAGGGATCACGTAGCGCTGCGAATTCGGGATGCCGAGGTCAACCCGCCCCAGCCCGCGGGCCCCTGTCCAGCCCAGCAGAGGATCGGAGCAGAGGGCACAGTGGGGCAAACAGGGTGGGAAGGCGGGGGAGTTCGGAAGGCCAGAATCACCCCCGAGGGTCTTCGACCATTTTACCCCTCGAAACGTCCCCAAGAGAACCTGGGACTAGAGTCGGGTGGGGAAGCGGCAGAGAGAAGCCAGCAAGCTCCCATCTATGGCCTGTCCCTGCACAGGGCGGTGGGGCCTTCTCCCGTCTGGCCACCCAGTTCATCCGGCTTCCTAGTATCAGTTGCGAACCTTTCCAGTGTTTTCATCCAATAAATTAGCGAGTTTGAGTGAAACTCTAAAGGTCTCTCCTTTCTTTACTTCTTTAATCCCATTTTGAAAAAACAACCGAAAAACGCCGGCACTGGACAGGCAGCTCCGCGGCCAGCCCTACCGTCAGGCCCCGCCCCGCACCATTTTCTCGGGGTCTTAGGGCTTCTGGCTCCTTGCCCCCGTTTCAGGCTGTGCCAGGAACTTTCTGGAGTTCTCTGGGCTCGAAGCGGGGACTGACTCGTAGGAACAGTTCTTAACAAACAAACTGCCCCACCCAAGTCTCCCTCCCCCCAACCCCACTCTAGGATATCAAGCTTAGTCACGGCTCTACATTTAGTTTCCAGGAGAGTCTTTGAACTGGGTGCCAGCCTAGCCTTAGTAACGGGTCTCCCCCTCCTTTCCCCTCATAACAACCGACCAGTCTGGGATGAAGGGAAGAGGAGACGGTTCTGGGAGAAGCTGGAAGGGTGGGGTGGGGGTGGGGCGATGGGGGAGATGGTTGTGAGTCAGAAACAACAGCCTGGAGGGGAATACCTGCTGTTCACATACCCCCGCCATGGTGCCCAAGATGCGCGCAGAGCCCTGACATTCACTCTTAACTATCTTCTATGGCCATTTGTTTTCTTCTTTTTAGAGTGAAAGGGTAAGGTCTACGTGCCAGCACTGGGAGGAGTCCAAAATAGAAAGTATGAGGACATGTAGGTTCAGTCACTGGTTCTGTAATTATCTGTCTAGGTGACCAGACCAAGCCACTAAACCTCTGATCTTTTGTGCTTATGTTTGAAAATGTAAAGGTTTGGCTGAAGGGCTCTGCCTAAAAATCGTAAGATAGTTTCTATGATAAACTGAAAGTAATACTATAGTCCTGGTATTAACCCCCAACCTTCAGTAAGAATGATTGAGATATAACAGACCTGAGAGGGTGTGGGACCCCAACAAAAGAAGGGAGAAGGGAGCAAACTTTTGAACACTACTCTGTCACAGACACTGAACTAAGGCCTTATAAGTATTATCCTTGTAGTCGTCATCCTATGAAATATTGTTAATTCTAGTTTAGAGATACAGAGACGTGTAATTTAGTTAACTTACAAGTCCTTCATTGTGAAAGAAAGAAAAACAGCCTCAACAACGAAGTAGAGTCCAGATGCAAACCCACGTTTTTTTCCATGCTGCTGGAAATTAGGGTTCCCAGGTCTTTGAAGCCTTTGCCATTTGATGGTTTAGAATGCCTGGCTCATAAAAAGAAACAAAATTGAGCTATTTGTAATGAGGTGGATAGACCTCGAGTCTGTCATACAGAGTGAAGTAAGTCAGAAAGAGAAAGACAAATACCATATGCTAACACATATATATGGAATTTAAGGGAAAAAAATGTCATGAAGAACCTAGGGGTAAGACAGGAATAAAGACACAGACCTACTAGAGAATGGACTTGAGGATATGGGGAGGGGGAAGGGTGAGCTGTGACAGGGCAAGAGAGAGGCATGGACATATATACACTACCAAATGTAAGGTAGATAGCTAGTGGGAAGCAGCCGCATAGCACAGGGAGACCAGCTCGGTGCTTTGTGACCGCCTGGAGGGGTGGGATAGGGAGGGTGGGAGGGAGGGAGACGCAAGAGGGAAGAGATATGGGAACATATGTATATGTATAACTGATTCACTTTGTTATGAGAAGTAACAACTGACACTGCAGAAATACAAAAAATCATGAGGGATTACTACAAGCAACTCTATGCCAATAAAATGGACAATCTGGAAGAAATGGACAAATTCTTAGAAATGCACAAACTGCCAAGACTGAATCAGGAAGAAATAGAAAATATGAACAGACCAATCACAAACACTGAAATTGAAACTGTGATTAAAAATCTTCCAACAAACAAAAGCCCAGGACCAGATGGCTTCACAGGCGAATTCTATCAAACATTTAG